TACTTAGCTTTAGTATTTAGAATACGTAGAAATAAGTTTAACTCACACTCGTTCTGTAGTTATATCCATTTGTTTCGTTTTGTTTTCCGCCTCCCCCCCTCACACACAGCTACTCCGGCGGTGTCTAACGGGGCGATGATGGGCAGGTTGAGAATCGAATTGCATGTTCCGAAACGCGTAGGAATCCAGTGCTGTGGAAATGGTTGGGAGAGGGCGTATAGTACTTACAACATGATCATTCTGGCATTGGCTTGCACGAGTCATATTAGCCTACGGGATATGATAAAGATCTCCACAGGAGAGGTTATAGAGCATCAGCTCGATTGTGGGCACCCTTTCCCTCCCACTTGTGCTTTCGTTTCCAGTTCTGTTATTTGTACGAATAATAAAAAATTACGCTGCGACGGCACAAGGCTGGAGTCTGAGTGTTGGCTATCGAGCCACAGGCTGGGATTTATTGTTATGTTCATGCGTATCCCTGGCGCGGCCGCTTCAATCTCATGTTATGTCGGGGTTGAAAATTTTCACTCGATGAGTGAAAGACCCTGGCAATGGTTAAAACGAATAAGTACGGCAGTGAGCCCGGCTATTGAAATATGCTTTGATTGCAATATACCTCTTCCTACTTAATGAAGTATGCACCGATCCCACGATGCCTCTGATTCCCATCACCTGGCGAAAGCGTCATTCACCTGGACGACAAGCACCTGATCTTACGAGAGAGCTGGTGTGTAACAGCTTTTGTCCAGTGGCCTCGTGTGCCACCTTATTTGCATTACGACACAGAAAGCCGGAGTTGTCGACCTGGTTGACTGAAGAAATCGGCCAAAAGCTTGGACGACCAAGATTCGTTGATGTTGAAGCGCTGGAACACTGGAATAGAATACTGGTCGGCAAACTCCGCCTGATGGAATGCAAGTTTGGAACCACTTTCTCTTGGAACGGATGTTCTGGAGATGTGACGTGGAGGGTGGCCCAGCCGTACAACTATCGACCGGAGGCTTTAGCTGTCTACTACACCGGCACAGCGTCCTTTCATTCCCGGAGAGCTTTAGCTGTCTACTACACCGGCTCAGCGTCGTTCCATTCCCGGAGGACTGGCTGTTCGGATTGCAAGGACGGCCAGGAGCGTTGTTTGGACGATGTCCATTGGTGCCTGGAATCCTGCTTCCCGTGGAATAAACCAGGGCGTTTCTCACAACCCGATTTCGGGGCCATGTCTCCTGCTCAACTTAGTGCGTGGTCGTTTGTGGTGAGCTTGGTCTCCATTTCAGTTGTGGCGTTTTATTCGAACAGCGCTGAGACGGTGTCGTGGTGCGTCTCGCTGCTGTCGCTGTCTCGGTCTTGTGTGGAAACGGCTCTTAGAGCGGACGGTGTGTGGATGAGGAGCCGTACACCCAATAACTCTAGGTCGTTGGCTCAACTTAGTGCGTGGTCGTTTGTGGTGAGCTTGGTCTCCATTTCAGTTGTGGCGTTTTATTCGAACAGCGCTGGCTTGGTCTCCATTTCAGTTGTGGTGTTTTATTCGAACAGCTCTCAGACGGTGTCGTGGTGCGTCTCGCTGCTGTCGCTATCTCGGTCTTGTGTGGAAACGGCTCTTAGAGCGGACGGTGTGTGGATGAGGAGCCGTATACCCAATAACTCTGGGTCGTTACAATTGAACCAGGTTCATTCACCACCACCCCCTTATACGCCATAGTTTACTATATCAATTCACTCTTATACTCGTCATAAGTACAAGCTGAAGCGTGTTCATCACTTATCGTAACGGCAAGGTGAATAATTGACGGGAGTATTTGCTGTCGCTGTCTCGGTCTTGTGTGGAAACGGCTCTTAGAGCGGACGGTGTGTGGATGAGGAGCCGTATACCCAATAACTCTGGGTCGTTACAATTGAACCAGGTTCATTCACCACCACCCCCTTATACGCCATAGTTTACTATATCAATTCACTCTTATACTCGTCATAAGTACAAGCTGAAGCGTGTTCATCACTTATCGTAAAGGCAAGGTGAATAATTGACGGGATTATTCTTGTGGTATAGCACTAATGTACCTGGCCAAAACGTAGTTCTGGAACAATAAGCCATAGTCATAGCCTCCATTTATTCTGTGCAAATGTGCTGTATCATCCCGCTTGCCGCAGAAATTACCTGCTCCTCGGTCAGTCAATTATAGCATGCTGCGGTCATCAGCTACATGTGTGCAACATCACTATGTATAGCATGCTGCGGTCATCAGCTATATGTGTGCAACATCACGACAGGTGCCAATAATTAAGACGTATTTCTGCAGACATATGTATAGACCATAAGACGTATTTCTGCAGACATATAGACCGCCAACTGCCCCGTAGTTCTTCCCGACTAACGGAATTAGGATAATGGTCATTGTGAGAAGTATTAATAATCAGCGGCCTGAATCAGTTCCAGAATGCGCTGGTCCAGATGCCCAGCAAAGCATGACGAAGATCAACAGTATAACCGTCAAAACCTCGGGACACAAGGAAGCGATGATAAGGGGTAACCGAAGGCAACTTAGTGAGACCTCATCTAGTTGCGACCAGTCAACACGATACGTCGAGGAGATTGAATTCTTCCGTGACAGGATTACGGCCGTTCGCGATAAGCAACTTGACCTGGAAAGACTGGCTGGAGAACTACGGAGTGAGAGGAACCTTTTGAAATGCGAATGCAGTAAGCTTCAAGAGCAGCTTGCCGTAACAGAAGCAGGTTATGACACCACCAGAGAGGAGCCACATAAAAATTATATGAATTGTAAACATGGCATGGTTGCGATTGACCGCGTCGCATATTTCCAGCTGACAATCGACAAGTTGATGCATGTAACACGGAGAGGTATTCCGGAGAACGCTGCCAATAGAGTCAATAACGCGGGGAAATTAGTTTTATCGGCTGTCCACGACATTCTCAGAGACTGTCGCGACTATGCCTCTCGCCCTGATGCGCTGAGCATCAAGGCCGTTCGTTTAGAACTGGGGATCTACAGCCAAAAACTTCTCGACGCTTGTAAGAGCTTTGCGGTCACCGTAGCGTCTATTGCCGGTGGGGTTGAACGCCTAGATGCGTTGATATTGTTATCTAACGCAGCCGACCAGCTGACACATGGCGTTATGTCTCTCCTGAAGATTGTCAAAATACATGGCAATGTTCATAACGAACCTGGTGACTCTCAGGTCAATACTGGTGAATCAGACAAACTGCATATCAAAATCAGCGGCCAGGGTGAATTGGATGAATTTAATGGGACTGGCGACGAAGAACTCCCAACGCGCCAGCCACTGCGAGATATGGTGAGACAAGCTATCGGGCCCCCATCACCATCATCGGATTGCGATTAGAACGTTGGCATGCGCATGGCTACGGTGCGGTACAGGACTTCCCATTGACTTCCTTCAACCGTTTCCGCTCTAGGGTAACCAAAGGACTTATTGAAACCAACAGACTTATCGAAATAATAAACCACGTACCCGATTTCATCATCGTGGTCAACAAGCGATGATATCAGCTCACACGACTACCGAGATGGTCTCTCTCCCCACAGCCACATAGTTATTATGCAAATTTTCATAGTCTCCGCATGATACATGTGCTTACATATTTTTCCTCCTGGCCAATATTTTTTGTTCTAGTATAACAAGTGTAAAACTACCTGTGAATCTGGGACCACTGAACCTCCCCACAGAGTTCAGTTTGTGTGGTCTCTCATGTCCTGCACACAGGCTTGATCAGCAATGTTGAAGTGTTTTAGGTTAACGCACTCGCTTTTCCTCGGGCGATGTGTCGTCCAGCAATTTTTCGTTGATCCTCGCTCTGGTGCCCAGGTCGTCATACGGTGTTGCTGACCTGATGTCTACCTCAACATCACTTTTAACCATTATCTCGGTGGCAGAAGGCAAATAGTTGACTTGCGTACAGCGTAGGGTCGCTGCTTTTCTCGGGCGGCGGTGGAAAATTGGTAGTGATCTAATGTATGGCAAGCTGCCTGCCAATATTCCCACACAGGGCTCAATGAGGGACCACATAGCAACGTCACTGCGCACTGTTATCAGCAAAAAGGGTCCGCTTCGTGTGTGCTCATCCGAGCAACTAAAACTTACACAGTTCTGTACAGGAAGTCCGGTGTAATTTCCAGGATCCTAATATAACGGATGCGAACCAGCATCACTCCACCAGCACTACAGATTTATCAGCGGTAGTCGGGATTGACTGCGTATTCGAGGTCAGGGACTCACGCGCCGCCCAGGACCAAAAACAGCATGATGACCATCTTTGTCTTGTTTCGTCTCAGTTCTGTAAGCTTTGTCCTCATCTTGTTTTGTTGAGGTTTCTCGTCTGATGTAGTAATCGTAGGAGAGCCCATGAGATTTTTCTTTATTGTGCAAGCAGACAGGACGGATATGGTCAAATCACTGACGGCGTCGATTACGCTATGTGCGATTGCAGCATTGGGTAATAGATGCGGATTGCCGCACGATCCCTCCATGTTGAAATTCTCGAATTGCATCCAAAAGTACGACGGCGGGCTGCATTGTAGTAGGTTGATGAAGAAGTACACAATGGTGAAAGTGTACACGATTCCCAGGCAGGCGTAGAGGATCCATTTTTGAGTCTTTGAAGGGCTGAAACGCAATATCAGCAGTGCGATCGACGTCCTCACCAACGCGCTAAGCGGGCCGTATATCAGTTCGCAAATGAACCACGCGCGAAAGGCTACATATGCCTCGTGTGCGCCCATTTCAGAGGCGTGTTTGCCGATTCCGCCGTCTATGATGCCCTGAAGGGCGAAGCCCGCCATTAAGGTATAAAGCAGCTTTGTTTTTTTCCCTAGCCGTTAACAGACTCCTCCAGAGACTGGCATCTGTGAGTGAACTTACCAGGGCTTGCAGCATAAGTGCATCTTCCACCCAAGGTAGCTCTTTCCATGACCGGCCCCGTTTAGTCAAAATTCTGGACCATATCCTGAGCGGTACGACGAAGACCCAGAGAATCACGAGGCAAACCACCTGGACGATGAACAATTTCTTCTTCTGGTCCGTGGCGAGTGGCATCTTTTCAAATTGAACTATCAATACTTTGACACCGGTCTTCGGTTTATGGAATAACGAGCATATATAATAAAGTATGGAGATGTGGAGGGCCAGACCATCGAGCACTTCCAAGGATGGTAGCAAGTAGTAGCAAGTGATATCTAGTTATAATACGGAGGTGGCCACCAGACATTCCCGTGCTTATAAACCATGGCCTGTGATTCATGTAGTGAACCAGTGAACCAGTCTTTCTTCAGGGCAAAGTCCATGATGCAGCAACCGTTATGGAATCTCTTCTCTCGGGCTGACCACCGGGTATTGCGGGAGAGCTTTGTGAACATGTGTCTGAGCAGTTTCAGGTGAAGAGCCTGTCGTTACCAACGAGGGATATTCTCCACCATTGGAAGTCTCCCATCGCAAGAGGATATAACAACTGGCGTTTGGGGCCTCGAGCTATACCGTGGCAAACCGCCAATCGTCGCCCATGCACTGTAGAGGATCGGTTTTCTGCCGTATGAGGTTAGAGGAGACACACTTCGTTGGCACCAACCACTTTGAATACATTCTTGCGACGGGCATTGCCAAGACGTGCGGAATAACACCTCGAACCGTTCGTGTTGCCGACGATTCTACAGAATCTGTCGTGATGGCAGCGGATTAAGATTCGATACATTATGGATAGCAGGTGCTTGACAGGCAATGGCAAATGCTTCGTAGAGATTACACAACTACCGTAATTACACTAATCGTAGGTACTCTGCTATTTTAACGTATTTTTCAACAGACTAGTCACAAGAAATAATTTATACACATATCTCTCGAAATACAGCGACACCAAAGAAAGCGCTGACGAAGGCTGACCGAGGCACGCGAGCTGCAGCACCTGAGATAGTGGTTGGCAAAACAACGTCAGCTCGGGTAGCTGAGTGAGAATTGGGACCGTCTACAGCCGGTGTAAAGGTCGCGCAAGCCGCAGCAGCGGCCTTCTGAGCCTTTACAACGTCGCTTGCTTGGCACGAAGCAAACACGCAGCCCATTGCTTCATCTCTGATTGTACCTTGAGTCGACTTGGGGCACACGCATTGCAGGTCGAGAGTGCAATTTACCATGGCAATGGCATCCTTCAGGCAGTGAACCTATCCAGCGTGTCAACGGGGCATTCCCTTAGGCCAACCGGACGGGATGGGTGCACTTACAGCACACTCGGGCTGCCCAGAGAAATCAAATGCGGTGGCCAGAGTCACAGACGCCGCCAGAAGAAGCTGGCTCTTCATGCCGGCTGGAGATTGTGTTATATTGAGAATTCATTCGGATAGACTGTTGTAGGGAGAAGAGAGTAAAGTAAACAGGTCGACACTGAAGGTTTTATGTAGCGCATTCGCAGTTCTGTGCAGTCATCAACATAGTTACACGCCTGAACCACTTGCGTTAATATGTATTGGAGAACGATCTAACACTAGTCTAACACACCTTATCGTATTTGATTTCATTCGTTACAAAATGACCGTCTCCTCAGGGGGGAAACACGCTTCCCGATGACGTTCCAGTAAGCCGGCCTTTGTGGCTTCACATAATCGCGTCTGATGCTTCTACTGGAATATGCTTTTCAATGCTTGACCGTGTTTACGGAGGCGGTCTCTAGCCTCCTTGCTCTGTGCCTTTCGTGTGCCATCCAAAACTACTGGTACTGTCAACAAAAGCAAGATCAGAGCTGAGGACGAGACTGCAGGGCCGTATGCGGTTTCTATTGAGGCATTTTCTGCGTCGGCGACCCTCTTTATGTCTTGGTTGGCAAAGACGTGTCTGCTCACAACCCAGCATACCATGAACACACTCCCTAGCAGTAAAACTACTCGCACAATAGCCACCGTAGTCGTCGTCCATTTGCTTTTCATCCAGCTTTTCGGACACAAGGAATATATGCATTCAAACAACGACATGACCCGCAAAGTTGATGCAACTAGTAAAAGAATGAACCATACTCTCGAGGATTTTGCCCGGGACTCTTGTGACTGTAGCCCGTGCAGGAGTAGAGGATATGATGTCTTATTCAATACTGAGGCAGAGACCGGCTCCCATGGTGTTGATGTGGTGTTGATGCTTTGCGCAAGGGAACCATCAGACAATATGCATACTGACGCGTCCGACAAGGATGTGTTTGACAAGTTCCCAATTCCTGTAAGCCCGGGTATTATCCCCGGTGGGGCGGAGACCTGGATGGTGTTAGTTATCCCGAGGCATCACTCATACACAGATACGGAAACTCTACAGCGAGGAATGAGCATTGAGAGTAGTTCGACGATAGTTGCAGGCAGCAGATCAACAAAACAAGCGCCCAGGTCAGAACGCAGCCATAAAGGTCAGCGCTACGCATGGTTCAATCTGTAGAAACGCGCCCTATATATATGAACAGCGCTTTCGCAGTCGCCGTACCTAACCGGACCTAAATCTGAACCGCTTGCTGCGCCAATGTCGCAAGCTGTAACGTCATCCGGAACCATTATCCGACAAATTGATGTTCCGGAGAACAAAAATAGGCCAACCCCGTTCGGCTGTATTTAATATCCCTCAAATCACTTAACTTAGGGAATTTCCCGTTCGACTCTTCCATGCGGTTCGCTCTGATATGGATGGCCGTTTTGGCCGCTGACTTGTTAATCTGGGCATTGCTCAGGCGCTTTTACCAGCTGCAGCTCCAGACGTATCGGTTGCAATTTCTTCATCGACAGTTAATCGTTCAAATCCTGCATGGCGGAAGCCCAGTCGAGAAGTCTGCTCCCGCCCCAACCCACGACGAAGAGAGTGGATCTCGTAACAACGTTCTCCCCCCGAAAGAGATACCACAAGGGCTGCAGAGAATGCTCGCCGTAGATGAAAAAGATGCCAAAGGGTTAAATCCATCATCAAGGGTACAACTAGCAGTGACCCTTGCCATCCTGTTGCAAAACTCACTCGCAATCGGCATCGTGGGGAGCGAAAATGCAGTGCGGGAAGTTTGCAGACGGTCTGGGCAACTGGCGTTCGTCAATACGATTCCTCTCATGTTACTCGCCTTCCCAGATGTCGCGTTAGGAAGAATTGCCGGGCAGTGTGCTCCTGAGATCGCTTGGGCGCATCATCTTTTTGGATGGCTCATTTGGTTCAATGCATTAATTCACGTGGGGCTGTCCAATTCGACAATCGAAACACAAGGTAGGCAACGCTCGGGAAATCAGCAATTTGCAGGGTCTTACCGTATGGAAAGCTGAATTCTTACGTAGTTGGAATGATATTCACAATTTTTGGAGTCAGCGTACGTAGACTTACTCCCCGACATTGGCGCTGTACTGCAGGTAGCAGCATCAATGTGCAGAAGCTGACTTGTGATAGGCCGCGATGACTTTGTATTTCGCATTGCTTTCAAAGATCGGAGACGTACCAAGCAACCAGGCCCACGGACATGGCACTCTCACAAATCATAGTATTCTCGGTGCCGGTTTCCTAGTTACTATACTTTTACACACCCCAAAAAGCATATTTCTCGTCGTGGCCGCCGTGTCCATTACCTTGTTTGGCGTGGGGAGTCTGCTTCATAACTCACCAGCTGTGCCAGTAAGAGTCGTGGAGGGAAGGTGCAGGGAATACAAGGGTCGACGGTGGGGTGTGACTTGCGACATGCACCACATGAAGATTGCACCCGAAGCTGCATGTTACTTCAAAGTTAACGGACAACCCGTGAGGCCGGCTTGGACAAATAAGTCGGACCAGGAAGCCGCCGCTTTTCCATTGACGTTCATTTGCGACCCGGGGCCAGGGGAAACAGCGCACGTCACGGGGCCATTCTTTACATGTCAGTCCCCTCATGCTTCTATACCATACACCATAGCAGTGTATTGCTCATACAAGGGCTTCGCAGAGGCCCACAGCTTATTGCATGCTAGGAAGGGCCAGACGTACATCGTTTGGGTGGGACCGAAACCGTGGCTACTGCGGCGATTCAAACGTGACTACGCTTGCACTTGCGGTCCGTATATCCTGGTAGCGGGGGAGTCTCATATTGAACCTCTCTGGGGAGAACGAATGGGCAATGTGGAACGGATCGCACAATTACGAAGACGGTATACGCCAATCCAAAGTATCGATGGCGACATTGGTACCGTCGACGGGTACTACCTGCAACCGGACGGTGCAGGGATACCGGACGGTGCTGGGCTACCAAACGGCACAGTTAATGTAGCCGATGCAATCGACACGTCGGAACGGGGATCATACTGCGCGTACGACTCTACATATAGTGATAGTGAGACTCTTGTGGAGGCTCCGAGTGCCTTGCGCTCGTGAACGGGCGGTACGTGTGGGAACTTTGACAGACTGGGAATTCCAGTACCTAAGACGCTCGTGCATTTTGTATGGTTCGAAACTGTTGTTTGTCTTCTCTTTTCGACGCCACATCTACCTTACAGTTTCAATCGTGTGTCACCACATTTCGGCTCATCATGATTAGAGTAAACCCCCTGGAAACCAGAATTGTAAATATGCCCGTAGCACACTCTGCTCTAAAACCACCATTGAACTATAGGTGCCTCTTTTGAAGCTTCCGAATCTGTGGTCGCCTTGGCGTGATTCATTGCGCCTGGGGACTGGACCTTTTCATGTGATGAGTTTTCCCGACAGGTTGGCAGTATTTGTTGTATTGGTTTGAAAACTTCAGCTTTCGACCACAACTTGTGTGAAACCAGTGGCAGTGGTGGGAGAGCTTTGTTTAGATTCGGGGGCTGACGTCCCGTCTTGGAAGTTGATGCGTTTCTAGTTGCTACTGGAAAGAAGAAGCGATCGTCCAAATCCCATTTCGAAGTTGTCTTCCGGATTTGATGCACTGAGGGGCTAGCACTTGGCCGAGGTTCCTTCATGCGCAGAAATAAGGGAGGCGAGGGTCATGTAAATACTACCCGGTCTGGGCACATCAGAATCAGAATATAACCGACAGTGCTGCCGTAAGAGATCACAAAGAACACAGACATCTCAAGTTCCACACTTGACTATTCTCGTAGCCAAAGCTACAGTAAAACTCCAATGTGGTTTAAGTATACAAGGATTTACATGTACCTCTGTGCGTGTTACTACTGCAATGCAGAAACAGCACTTCTAACGGCATGTGAGTAATATTTGTCCACTAGGAGTGTCGATGAGAGGATAAAATCCAACAGCAGTCAGTGCTTGCGGTGGGATCCTGTGGGAATAGCATACATTTAGACCTAATTTCTCAGCCCCAAGTTTCCCTACCACGTCAGCCGGCGTTCGACGTCCATGGGCGTCAACATGCAAGCAGCAACAGTCACAACAGTCAACATGGGGTATAGCTCCGGATTGATAACCCCATCCCCATTTGTCATCAAAAGAACTCTCAGTAAATTAAAGCTTTCTTGTCCACTTTCGCCCGTTGAACCCCCCCCCCCCCCCCCCAAAACAAAAAATAGAACTCGCTTGGGCAAGCTGTTCGTATATTTCCGACATCGAGGCAGGTTTCCCAGAAGTTTATGTAGTCCTCTTTTGAGGCCCTGGTGTTTCCCCCCGAAACCAGCTTGCCACCGGCGCAGACGGCATCTTTTCGTCATACTGCTTGTCGTTGTGTGACAAAACCTTCCGTCGATAATCGCCCGGGGCATCGTTATATGCGTAAGGAGCCTTTCCCCCAGGTTCCGACGGTAATTTCTTGCCTTCGACTGATTCTGTCTTGTGCGGATAGTCCTGACAACCGAGACAACATTTATGCAGAATTGAGAGTAAAAATAAAAGTAACGACACCACACATTGCACCACAGACAAATGAAAACTTTGCGACGCGTCATCGTCGGCATCTCCAGCGTCAACGGAGGGCAGTTTACTACCCAGACTAGCAATTCCACCCAGAATCAAATGCAGCCCCAAGAAAACAACACATGCTATTCCATTTGATCCAAATCCTGCTACCAGTGCCAAAGTACAGATGAAGGTCCCGCGAGGATGGCCAGAATGGAAATGCGAAATGGCGGCTACAGCGAGGTATGCGCCAGTTGAGATGAATGATAATCCGATGGCAATGTTGACTAGTACTTCCAAGCCGACAGACGCCGCCTCTTCAAACTTTTTTTTTATCCCCTCTATGGTTTTGCTGAGGTTGCCCGGCAAGTTTGGCAAATTCAGGTCCCCACCAGACCGCAACGGCTGGTAGCTGTTATCACCAACCTGCAGAGTGACATTTTCCGTCCCCACATCCAGTTCTATCTTCAGCTTGCTCCGTAGGTCTGCTGCCTTGGTTTCAACGGCACCTATCACAGTACTGGCCGCACCGACGGCTTGCGTGGCTACAGAAACGACTTTGGTCACTCCATCTCCAATGCTGCCAATGGGATTCGTGAGGTCTCGGCGTTGGTGTATAGGGTCGAGCTGATGGATTGGTTTAGTTGTGGTGTTATCTAATATTCTCCTTGGGTTGGTACTTACCTTGTAGACAAATATTCCGCGCTCCTTGTTCTCCTTGGTGTTCAAGTGACTAGCGGTGATGCAAATCCAGACAGAGCCAACAAGATGGACTAGGGCGAAACCCCAGAACAATAACTTCAAAATTTTGCCAACTTCCATGTGGGGCAGTGGGAAGATTCAACTGGAATCCATGAACCACTATATACCGAGTTTCGCGACGTGCTGGAGATTGTGTGGCCCACAGCGCTATAAAAAATCCATCGTGGCGGTAAAACGGGATGCGTATATCCAACTTCACAGATTTGTTTGTCATTACTCTGGGTACTATACAAAGAAACAGGACAATCTGGCACATTTAACGGTTTTTTAACTCAGTCCGACGGAACAGGCCGCCGTTTTGCCGTCTATCTGCAGCTGTTTCTAATGGATGGTGAATGTCAACCGAAGACGCCGCTTCTTTATTTATTCTGCAAAGTACGATTCTGTATATACGAAAAGGTAGACTGGTGGATTATAATACATCGAGAGCAACGAATTCACTGTTGAGAGACGTCCGGAGAGCTTCGTTCCCCACTCGGAAAGACCCTTCCTGCAACAAGGACAATTCTATCTCGTACAGAGGCATCCGTAAATCTCTAAGACAGCAGGAAATTCGCTGTGCAGAGCATCGCTCCAAGCAGAATACAGAATCTGGATGATGGGGTCGAGCCAAGGAAGCCATGTCCTCAGGCCCGAACTTTACCCAAAGGTAGTCTGATCGCAAGATCAGTTTACAGACGCCACTGCGACCGGCACCTAAAGGCGTCCAACTTCCCCAGTAGGAAAATCGTTCGTGGTCAAGGCAGTCGGATATGGTGTCTTGTAGAGAGGTCCAAGGGTCATACCATCTCATGACCCAGGTCACGGCCACCAAGTGTTCGCAAAACAGCAAGTTCCTTGACTCAATGCATGTTTCGTGCAAGCAGCAGCCGCGGCTCCTTACAGATCCAGATTCTTTACTCTCAAGTGTCCGGTGCGGTATAGTATTCCGAGGCTCAACAAAAAGTGATAGTCCCATGGCTTAGATATGATTGATTGAATGGCCAGAACTGGCTATGAAATCAACGGGCGGTATCATTGAAGAGATCTTGGACTGAATATATTCTTGACCTCGCTACAGAGTAACCTATGCTTCAGCAGGTCCTTAGCCATCCCTGACTCTAATAAGGTCATTTGAATTATTCTATTGGTATTCCGTAAATAGTCCCAAAAAAAGGCAGATTCGATTACGACCAGAGAGTATGCAATACATAACTCTTATAGTATTAATAACGTAATGAACTGTCATTGTCAGACGTTCGAACGTACCCAGCAATTCAATCGGCTCAAACCGGTACGTGGTATCTCTGATCTGCACATTAATGAACCCTGGAGGGAAGAGGGGGCCAATCGTAGGCCCAGCGATTCTGTACGTCACTATGTCCGTCACTACACGAATTCAATTCCTGAGCATAATCGATGGTGGCACACACCGGAGATAACAGCAGCATGCTTTTATTCCCACTATCTTTGGAAGCCTGTAACATACATCGGACACCTTGGCATGTTCCTCCCATATCCCAAGCGAGCCTGACGAAAATCAGACCAGCTGCCGCCTTTTGTTCCTGGCCCTTGGACTATTGGGCATCGTCCTACCAAGTCCGTGTCGTCTAACTCGGGAAGATCTGAATTGGGCATCGTCCTACCAAGTCCGCGTCGTCTAACTCGGGCAAGATCTGAGTTGCTATTCGAGAGGAAGCGGCGTCCAAATTTCATGTTTGAACTGCAGAGATAGAGTCGCAGAATCCGACACTTCGATACCCACCGTTGCATGGCCGTCAAGAACCATTATAGAGTCGCAGAATCCGACACTTTGGTACCCACCGTTGAATGGCCGTCAAGAACCATACACACTTCACCGGTGTCGCAAATAAACACTGTGGACAGGCAAGAATCTCCACGGAGCCAAGTTTCATACGTCGCATACAATCCAATGAATCTCCACGGAGCCAAGTTTCATGCGTTGCATACAATCCAATATATCAATGTGAATGAAGACTTCATCAATGGCAGAACTGAACCACCCATTGCGGGTGCTGCCGCAACTTCCATGTATGAAATTCTCAATGTCATCACCACCCATTGCGGGTGCTGCCGCAAATTCCATGTATGAAATTACCAATGTCATCATAGACCCATCGAGATTCCCGACATACCGCCCAGATTGCTGGTAGCTCGGCATTAATGTCCAGGAGCGCGTTGTCTTTCGGATCCAGCAAAAATGGCCGGAATACACGCGCCTGAGGAGGCGTGTCGGGCAAAATCCACTGCAGGGGCTAGACCTCAGTGGACGCGCACCTCTCTAGAGCACTTTGGGCTGATCTAAATCGAAAGACCTGGCGGGAATGTTCGTAAAAGAACTGGGAACCCAGGCAGAATCGAAAGACCTGGCGGGAATGTTCATGAAAGAACTGGGAACCCAGGCGAATCTATGAGCGAAGGCCAGGATGGCCGAGCTTGCGTCAAAAGCCCTACCGTGGGGGTCACGGTAGGCATCGCTACGTCGTATAGTTGGGGAATGCAGAGGTTGCTGGGAACCGCTATACTGACAATTAATAACAGTCAATGGCCGAGGCCAGCAAGGCCTGGGAAATCCAGGCTGAAGCTGATTACGCGGTCGTTTTGCCACCCAGGTGGCAACAGTAGTCGTAATGCTGCTGCCTTGGCAGCAGTAGTCAAATGGTATTAAAGATAGGAAGTTTTTCATCGGAGGGAAGAGGAAGCCAGATTGCTGGTAGCTCGGCATTCATGTCCAGGAGCGCGTTGTCTTTGTCTTTGGGATCCAGCAAACCCAGATTGCTGGTAGCTCGGCATTAATGTCCAGGAGCGCGTTGTCTTTCGGATCCAGCAAAAATGGCCGGAATACACGCGCCTGAGGAGGCGAAAGTTCCCATATAACCATTCGTATCTCAGGCGGCAAACTTTGGAACCCATAAAACTTCCGTTCGTTGGTAAGAATATGGCTCGAGACAGGTTCTCAGATATTCACTCCAGCCTCTTCATAGAATCCGCACGCTGTGTACGCTGAGGTCATGCAACTGTCGTGGTAAGAGCAAAAATGACGTACCGGGACTCATTTTCCATCAGGCTCTTCATGTTTCAAGGCGTAGAGAAGGGAGTGCGAGACAAGGACTTCATCTTTCTGTTGAGGGACCTATGTATTCGTTGGTCGGCAGACCCTTGACTCCTTTGTTAAGCCCGATAAAGAGCAGATGGCTATGTACATACCACAACACTGCCATGCTAGACTACTTTCTCAACTCTGTTATATCGATCCACCCTGAGGTGGATTGAGTTATGTTTACGCGTCGAATGGCCACTTTTCGCTTGGACCGCGACGCTTTGGTTGGGTATTACTACGCGTGTGGTAAGCACTGTAAGCACTAGATGTTCGATCAAGGTGACTACCGTACAATGAGTGTCTTCTTGCTCGTCTATGAGTATGAACTACTTGCGCGTATAACGAGGAAGCCCGGCTATGACTAGTGAGCAACCTCAAGCACTTTCCGTGGTAGTGATTCCAGGAACATGATAAGTATGACCATCCAACCGTAAGTAATACATATTCAAGTATCAGCGCTGGTCAACGCATCCCATCCCCGCTCCTGGCTAATATCACGACTCAATGCACCTTCACTCCTTCGGCGATATGAAATGGTGGTCGGGGGTCTGTGGCAGTGTCACCCGGGGAATGAAAAAGTTAATCACCACCACAACTTCCGTCTTTTAGTACTGCCTTGTGTCACGAAAGTATTAATACTTGAGGTCTTGCGCTTCAGTTTCGATTTTCTGGCCTCATGATCTGATCCTGTACTAACGGCGTGGGCATAGCGTGGGGCACGATGCTTTCTCCTGTGGTCTGGAAGGCCAAATGGCGCATTCAAGCCCTGTACATCCACCAGCTGGTGTATGAGATACGGGCTACCGCTGATTGGGTGGGTTCTGCCATCCGGCCATGTCAACGACACTGACAACTCTTGTCCAGTGATCTGGAACTCCGCTGGCACTCCAAAATTGCCCGTCTGATCCCAGAAGAAAGGGGAGAGCATATTGCCACCCATGATTTTGTTATCAATGACAAATCTGGCGTTCCATGCTACCAGCTTCTCGATCAGTAAACATAGCGCAGGATCGCCACGCTTTCGGAGACACCGAATGTGTCCAGAGCAATTGAGCATGGAACCTCGCTGCATGGGCATTGCCTCAAGCTCAAAGTAAAACAGGGATGCAATTATACAGTCTACCGTGCTGTCTATCTCGGCAGACAAGGCCGCATCGTGGCGCACCCTCCGCTTGAGCCTTGGCACTGCTCGGACGTCGTCAAGTTTCGGCTCCATGCCTTCGAAGGATACGTCGAGCCGAATGCACCTATCTCGAAGTTCTGAGCCTTTATCTATGGACCTTGTGTATTTTTCCCAGTATGACAATCCACTGAGCAGCCATTCGTACGCTGACGCAATCCTGCGCAAAGCACTCGTCTTGTAACCAAGGACGTCGGTGCCGAACAAGCTGCCGCCATCCATGTTCGCGTAAGGAAGTTCTGCATTATCCGACTTGGAACCCGAGCCGATACTCAAAAGAAACTGGCAGGTAGCATTGGCCGGATACAGTTCATAGTATTGTGAGAGAAGCAGGCTGATTGGGTTGTTCTCAACCATGCCAGCATCCTGGAGCCACCCTACACCTGGAACATACTTCGGCTGGAAGAACCTACGACATTTGTCAGTAAACCTACACCATATCCAGTAACGTCACAGATAGGTCTCCTCATACGTCGGTGCTGCGGTGCAACTTCGGGCCCTGTTAGTCACTGTTAGTATATCTTGTGTTTCTCTATATACCATGGTTTGCAAAACATCACTTACACGTCGGATACCGCGACATCCCTGCAGGTTCCGCAAACCTCGTAACCTGATCTGTTAGCAACCTGCCTGGACGATGAGAGAAGACTCAGAAGAGATGGGACGCGGGTTGGAGGGACGGGTTAGGGAGACTGGAAGAATTGCGATTGTGATAATGTAACGCTGACTCGGACGAACCTTTGTTCTCGGCGTTGTCGCCACTTCCGTTGTAATTTGTAAACAGCAAGATTGAAGGTGTCGGACTTCTCGCGGCGGGAAGCACAATGCGTGCGCCTATAGACGTCGCGTACGACGGATCCAACATCATTCCCTTCTCTCCGTAGGTCTCCCCAATCACCTGTTCCAGAGTTTCGGAAGAGTACCGTGCCTTGTGCCACATTGCCAAGACGGTCGACAACACGGGTACGTGCTGGAGGAAGCCTTTTCGGAAGATGACCTTGGACATTTCCTCATATTTTCGGGTGCAAACCTCGGGGTGCCATCCCTTCAGGTACAACGCGATGAGGTTCAAACCGCCTGCATACCGGTTAGTTGCATGCCTTGTCGGCGAGTTGGTTGGGAAGGGATGCCCCTGCTGCTACTTACCAGCGCTAACGCCAGCGGCTAGTTGGAAGTGTTCCTGCACCGGAATAGGTAGGCCGATGCGTTCTTCCAAAAGGCGAAGAATCTCGGTTTGCACGATGCCGCGAACTCCTCCGCCGTCGAGAGAAAGCAGCCCGACACCAGCAGTGGGGGGTCTGTCTAGAACTACAACGGCACACGCACCCCCGCACAGAAAACAGCTGCTGACTGTGAAGCGGTCTGGGTTCTTACGGCACTGGTCTCCGAAGTCCTTGACACAGCTGCGACATAATGTATGGTCACAGGGAAGTAGATACTCCGGCCGCCTCCGTAGACAAACAAAACAGGTATCACTACTTCCTTCTATGTAAAGCCACCTTTCTCTGTGGCGGTTCATGGTTTGACGGTGTATGCTAGTGATCATGCCTCCAGTGCGTTCAAACTTTGCGTGCAACAGACTCATGTGTCGTAAGATCAGATCCGTGCCGGGAAAGTCGATATCTTCGGACAGCCTCCGGCAAGCGCCTTGGTATAATGCCGTGAAAACATCTCGTATTTCGAATCCTGGTATAATACATCCTATCGTCAGTTTACGTGTTTTACGTGTTTACATGCTGAATACAGCTAGTCTGGAATTTGACACAAAAGAAATGGCAAGGAGTTAGAGCTTGCTGACGCACCGTGCATCGGGAATTTGACACAAAAGAAATGGCGAGGAATTAGAGTTTGCTGACGCACCGTGCATCCCAGGGGTAAAATGGTCTACGAGGAAACTAGAGGCAATAGATTCGGCCGCAAAATCTTTGTCGTAACCGCGGGGAAGCATTCGTACGTAGTTATTCAGGTGTCGTACCAAGTCTGGAGCGACAGGGTGCCTCGACCGGGATGCTTCAATATAACGAAAGGGCCGCATTTTTTGGGCGGTACCGAAGGACTCCTCCAATAGCCCAATCATATGGGAGCCCGAGAAGAGCACCTTGTTGCTGATCTTCCAACGGCGAGCACGAGATGCAGCTTGCCCCAACCTTTTGCGAATGGGCCTCAATCCGTTGACTGTCCACGTAGACTGGTCTATTCTTACGACGGATACTTTAGCTACTGGGAGCGTCTTCGCTAATTGCCGCTGGACCGTCACGGGCTGTAAATTGTCGGATTCAGCCAGCAAAACAACGATTCCTGGCATTGGAGTTGCCGCTCCTGCTTCCCTCCAAGCAAACATCCATTGGTTAATCTGAGCTTCGATGACGCGCAAGTCAGATTGATTGATACACATAAAACACAGAACGTCTGCAAAGGGAAGAAGGATCCTTGGCAATACGCTTAGAGATTCCTGCCTCGGGAATGAGCTTTCTTGTACGAAGAGGCCTCTGTTGGGCTCCTGCGTGAGGTGACATCTCGGCAAGCAATGTGACAGGAGAGACTGAGTGCTGGCGACCAACAACGGGTGCCTCCATCCGGCGGTTTCGAGATCTAGTCGTAAATGGACTCCGTATTCTTCGTTGGGCGGGAAATACTGACGTTCCGGAGATTCAAAGAACAGAACCAAGGTGGGTGTCTGGCCGGAGGGACATTGAAGAGAGTGTATCAGCGTCCGCAGTCTGTACGTTTGACGAATGACACAGGACGCTTCCTGGCCGGAAATGTCGAGCCATAACGTGTCGTCCTCCGGCATGCCTCGCATGCAAATTCCCCATCGTCCCGTATTATATGATCGGCAGCATCCATTATAAGACGCACCTCCAGACTTAATACAGGTAATTTGTTTGCTCTTTTGATACCCTATGGCTTTTTTGGCATGAAGATGGCCTTAATTTAGATACTTGCTCATGCGTCCAGGCGCCCCTTGAGGAACGTCCCCGTTTTATTTAAAGACGGAGCCAACCAACACCGAAGTTATAAAAAAGTGATTTGCCTCCTTTGATCGCTTCTTTCTCAGCCATGATTCCCGATTTTTGCTTGCTTATGAGTTGTTTAGGCGTTGTTACCGGACATATTTTGTTCTTATTGTTCATACGCCTATGGCCGAGGCCCATCCGTCAAGTTCCCCCCACAATCTCGGCTCCCGATCCCCCATTACAGCAGCAGCCACGCAAGAAGAGATTGGAGAATCCAACAGACAGCACGGCATTGCGGCGTTCAGCACGAATCAGAGAGGCCATGCTTCGAAGGCATGCTAATTCATGAGGTGGCTCCGTTCTCGCATCCTAGAGTCGAACAATATAAAACTCATTGAGGAAGTAGATTGGTCTCGAAAAGAATTTACTTTTTTCAATGTTGCCTATAACCCTACGGTGGTGCCTAGAATTTCTGCCCCTTGAGATCTGGGATCGAGGAGCAAGGACTTTAACCCGTTTGACAAGTACAGATCCACGACGTCGTTGACAAACTGTTCCACGAGCTCTACGCAAAGCTCTTTGCCCTCGCGTGCTCTGCGATATGCCGCGAAAACTAGGCCCCGGTCAACTCGTCTATTAGACTGACCAAGGCTGAAATAAGGATGATGGTCTAGGTGGACCGACCCGGATGGGTTGTAGACGCTCCGGTAGAAAGTGTAAATTTGGCCGTATGATAAATTATTCGCATCGGCCGGCTCTCGTCTGTATTCTGTATAATCGTCTTGCAATAGTGTCTCATGTAATGGCAGCTTTAATGGTGAAGACAGTCGGTGCAGCCCGTACGATGCGAGGAGCTGACCGGTGACGGGTTTATAACGCGTTTGAAACTTGGACAGCGGTAGGGGGAGGCTGCTGCTCGCATCCCTGTAAATATGAGCCAGGTACGCAAGGTCAAACCCGTAAAGTTGTGCGAATCTCATAATTTGCCATGCAGCGACCACAGAGTGCCATGTCTGATCCGGAGGCGATAAATTGAGTGATGGGAGTGGAACTGCCTCGGGTGTGGTAGGTCTCGGGTGAAGCGGTGTCTGAACGTTGTTCCACCTGTCCTTGTTGTTTCTGAATATGGGCTTCTGTTCCCCGTCGGCATCCACGGCCGCTTGGTTAGGGTGGTAAAAGGCATTACTATCTCTTGTCGGGGTGGACGTGGACGGGCGGCTGGAGACGACGGATTCTGTTTTCGTGCCGTCGAATGTGACTGATGATTCGGTAGCCGTCCAGTCATAGTCATCAAATATTTCACTGTCTTTCCTCGGGATGAAAGGGCGGCTGGAAGCAAAAGAGCCTGTTCCGGTGTCCACAATCGTCACTGACGCTTCATAGTCGTTGAAATATTCGCTGTCTCTTGTAGGTGTGGATAGGCGGCTGGGGACGATATACTCTCCTTTGGCGTCTCTAGACGAGTCTGTCGATTTGGTTCCCAACGCGTCGTAATCGCCTGCGAATTCAAAATAAGAAACTTCAGATGCCTTTGTGCCTTCGTCACGAGGTTTCATCCTGCTTTTGGTAGGGGACAAGCATGACGGACGGGGATATTTGTGCTCCATAGGCGAGGGCATCGTTGGCGTGACAGGCGACTGAGGCCGTCGACGGAACCACTTGCCGCTGGGCATTAGTACAGAATTTTTTTTATCTCAACGAAATTTAGAACCGCATCAGAAGAATGTACGGAACACTTACCTTGTTACGTTACGGGCGACAACCCATTTTTATATATGGTGTCGACCACAGCTCAGAAACCGGGGCTTAGAGGCACCTAACGCGCCTTGTTACTTGCGTAGCTCAGGCTTATGTTATCATTTCCGGGTCAGGAGACACCCGCTGGGGCTGCATTGTGACTTCATGGGGTGAGATGTTCTTCTCAACACCCGCCATCAACCCCCTACGCGGAACAGAGTGTTCTATGCATCTTAAATGCCGTTGGAAATACTGTATGTATAAACAAACACACAAAGGTCCTTTTCAAGTGAGACAGTATCGGTAGTGAGGCATGATGTGTATACTTTGCTTAACTCGGCACATTGCAGTAATAATCATTCTAATAGTAAGCTTAAGACTCACTGAAAGACTACTGGTATGGTTGGGAAGCTGCGCAGGACGACATCACCGACGATAAACTGTCTCAACTTTATGAGGCGGCATTGAAGCCTTTTTGAAAAAGTCGGGACAACAGCCGAAATAAACAAATAAGCGGTCATTTACGATTGAAAGATCAATTCAGCAAATGATGGACGATATGAAACCAAGAGTAGTATCTTGCCTACAAGTATCCTGATTTTGACGGGTTCTGCACTCCGACTTTTGAGAGGTGGCCAGGTTCCTCAACAGGATGGGGGATGTTGGAGGATCTGCGGAGTTGGGAATTCCACGGTTGTTTGTGTCGAGGATGCAAAGGACAAAGGCGACCAAAGCACACGACAAACTGGATGACAACAACACCAAGGGACAAAGATATTTATGATGCCATCACTGTCGTGGCGTTGGCGTCCGGGTTTCTTCAAAAGCGGCCGTCGAAAGAGCTCCAGGTCTAGGCGGCCGATCGTCATGGGAGGTCGTGCGAAACCTCGAGGGGAGAGGAAACGTACGGCAAAAGCATTAAAATTGATATTAAAAAGAGTGGCGGGGTGTATCTCTTCACCACGTATGGTGCCGTCAGGGCTACAAGTCAGTAGCGGACAGCTTAGAGAGGAGATTTGCCAACAGCGTAACGACCTAACGCGCTCGCTCCCTTCGACTTAGCCGTAGTCAGTATAGGGAGCAGTGGCAAAGAGACAACGCTGAGGCAGCGTATATTACGCTCCAACCACTTGGCAAGGCACAATTCAGTTTGTTATAAACCAAATACTCAAAGGAAGGGAGCTTTGGCTGCTATGTATGTACAGAAAACATGCAACGCCGTTTACGCTACTGGAATATACAGGTGCATATATTTGCCTATGTATGGTTTTCTGGCTCCTCAAGAGGTCATACCTTCATGATAAATCCTACTGTGGAACGTTGCTGGTTTCCTGGTCCCACGACAGTCTAAAACGATGAAACCCTCCTCTTCGTGGACGGAAAGAATCGGCCTCTGCAGCTGCGCTTTAAGTATCATGGACCAGAGCACTGTACGTAATCCCGCGGTAGCTTCTAGGATATTAAACTCGACTTGAGACGTAATCTTTGAACTGAAACAACAGCTGGGTTCACCTCAACGAAAGTGCGTGCGTATGACAAAACATCGTAGGTCAACAATTACTCAAACAGTCTTCGATGAATACTCCGTAGTTGAATTTAGTGGCCGAGAATGATGTTGAAATGCAGAGCCTGCTTGCATTATATATTCGACGCACCGATATGGCAAGTCGCGACACATACATATCCAGCTACTCGACTACGTCGCAATGACATGCAGCATGTCGCTTCCCGCCGAAGTATATTTAAAAGTATTGTCCAACTTGAGGCCACTGGATCTGGCTGTTCTGTCGAGATGCAGCCGGTCTCAAAAGCAGATCGTCCTGCCCATACTGTACAAAACACTGTCTCTACAACTTTGGGGCGGCGACCCGGATGGCAGCAGCACGCTGTTACTGCGGACGCTCAGCGCCAACCCCCAACTTCGTTACTATATACGCGAAGTTGAGGTTGTCAATGCCTCGTCGACGTTGTGGACGTCAGGTCATTCCAAGTTACTGGGTATCCTGCTTTGCAGCATCTTGACGCACCCTGATCGCATCACATCTTTCAGGTGGAAGGCTGGGCTACTGCAAACACACATATTCTTCCCAGGCCTCGTGGCTTTGGAGTGCACGCAAATTCTAAATTGGACGGACGTGCTGTGGGTGAGATGGCATCTTTTGCACTGTCGATCCCTCAAATCTCTTCGTTTACATTTATCGAAGCGGATTTCTCGGCATGCCGGGCAGTGGTTTCTTTCTCAACTCTCTTTGCGGCATGTCAAGGATTTGTGCCTTCAAGGTGCCGATCTGTCGGCAATGAACATTGACGTCGTCGACTCGCTGGAAAGCCTGGAGCTCAAGCTATGTCATGGCCTGGACGCCTTCTTAGCTCGTATGATTTCTCACGGAGTCCCGCAATCACTAAAAGTTCTGAGAATAGCTGGAAATGTCACTCTAAAACGCCTGGAGTGCTTTCTGTCAACTGTTGCTTCTAGAGTTCAGCTTGAGGAGCTGTCCCTCCGCATAGGCGGGGTTGCTGAGACTGCAAGCACTAGGTTTATTCAAGCCATCGCACCAAAAGTTTCCAACCTTGTGCTCGACTTTAGGCGAGACCTCTGTGATCCTCGCACGTCGGTGAAATACAGCATCAAAGATTTTCAAGACATGGTCAGTAGCCTCCCGATGTTGACGTCGGTCGGTGTTGCGCTGGACCTGCGGAACCCGAAGTACATACGACGATATCAACGGACCAAGTTGGAAGTGAGTTATCACATTGTCATTTCCGGGAAGTCGAGCCACTGAAATAGAACTAATGATGAAAATTTCCGGGAAGTCGAGCCACTGAAACGGAACTAATGATGAAAACAGAAAGGTGGTTTCATGGAAAAGTCCAATCTGAAGTGTATTCACCTTCGCGGGCACTGCGTCCCTCTGAAACGGTGCATCGGGGATGCGAAACATTTAGCAGATCCCTTTGCAGAGATTAGCATGTGCATCGGGGATGCGAAACATTTGGCAGACGCCTTTGCAGAGATTAGCATTTTACTAGACCACGGCTCGCGCCTGCGGAAATACAATTTCAAACAAAAATCATATGAGCTTACTGGCGTGTCTGATGAGGAGCGGTCGCAACTAAGTACAGACTTATATGGAATATATTGATGATCATAGCATGCGTGGGCATCAGTTGCTGGTGTGGCAAAATGAGTGCTAGAAGTCATTCAGGGTTTACGGACCCCAAAACTGGGAATAAGCCCGTTTCAATGAACTAACACCACCCCAAAACTGGGAATAAGCCCGTTACAATGAACTAATACCATCAGACGGGCCAAGGGGAATAGTGATATACGCACTCAAATTCTGAGCACAGATACACAGACAACTCACAGGAATAGTGATATACGCACTCAAATTTTGAGCACAGATACCCAGAGAACTCACAGCACTAGCGCCGACGAAGCAGTATTATCGTAGTTATGTATAGGCAAACACATGAAATGATACATACCTTAATACCGTAATTATGTCTGATGCGACCTTCATATGCTTCGTATACGAATAATAGTCTCGCAACGCGAATATCACACACAGTGAGAGACCCATATGGGTGAACTAGCACGTAATGGTCTAACACAAATGCTTATGCTGCTCTGAGTACATATTGACGTATGAATCCGAATTTGATACAGCATGACCTTATGCTGCTCTGAGTACATATTTACGTATGCATCCAAATTTGATACAGCATGATTCTTTTTGCAAGTATCCAAAACATGGTCCAAAACCAAGATGGCTCGTGTGTTTGTTGGGGCGTCACCAAACGTATGGATCAACACAACAGCAAAATCGTGACTCTCCTCGTTCGCGAAACCACCTGTCGTGGCAAGTCTGCCTTATTCTACAGTAGACGTCCAATTTCTAGCCCTTGTTTCAGTGGCACCGTCCCGATGCTGATAACCCCCGCCCCCCAAAACCCCGTCCCGATGCTGATAACCCCCGGCCCCCCAACTTGGGTCTGCAATATGTACCTACACAGGAGGCCTTACTCTAATGGGCAGCTAAAAGTAATCGTAAAATTGCTAGTCATACAGAACTTTATTGAACTGGGATCATCAGAAGCAAAGGCGTATGCATCAGGACATGCTGCTTTGAACCAAGGGTTGGCACCCATGCAATCTCCGCGACCTTCGGGCCCTGGACGGCAACAGTTCCCTATTCCTTTATACACGGCACAGTTGGAAAGACAGCCATACACGTCATCAAGTTGGCCGACGCTGGGAATGATGTTAGTTGAAAAACGTTGCATGTTACGTACCGGGCACCGCGGTTGTCCGGCAGCGTCGAGGCCAAGGTACGCTGGGACTTGACAAGACAGCTGGTGACATTGGGTGTCGTCGGGTACCACCAACATGCTGGTTGTGAAAGCATCCACTTTTTTATAACAAAAAAGAAAAAATTAACTAAGTAACTTTGATGTTTACGACATCGGGTTTGGAAGTACTGTACACACCTAGGCTTATGTCGTAGTAGATTCCTGACTCAGGGCCGGGCCCTGGCTCGGCGGCGTGAATCTCGAACAACGTCGTGTTTGCGGACGCAGTGAACCAGCAAGAGGGATGGGAGCAGCCACCTATCAAACAGTCAGCCCCCGATGCTGAGCAAAAATGCCTTGCCCAGATCCTGCCTCCCCAAGGAAGCGGTAGCGGAGCGGTTTGGACTGATGTGCCCGGCCGGAGAGAATATCCCGCGGGCAGTGGATCGAGGGTCGGATCAACGGGTGCGTTGGACATCATTGCAGGCCAGATGGTCTGCGTGCTACAGTTGTTTACCAGCCGAAATGAAATCATCTCGGCAAAGGACAATGTTTTGAGCAGCGTGAGGGTAAGTATTAGCAACATGCGTATGTCGTAATTGGGGGAATCACCTTACTTATGAGAAATCATACGCCTATTTTGAACGCCAACACTGGCTCAGGGTGGCTACTTAGGCAGCCTGACTAAAATAGAAATCCATTCGGTTGGCTCACGATGATGGACGGTGCAGCATAAAAGACGGCCCAAGGCACTTTTAGCTTGCCGACATATTTTGGTGGAAATGGAACTCGACGGTGAAGGTCTGTTGCATCGTATTGTCGATCTTATTTCAACAACGATTCGGCTATGCAGTTGGGAAGAGAGACGAGAGCTGCAGCCGGCGTTGTCCGTCTTCACACAGTGCATGACTCGCTCCGCTTTTCTAGACTCGGACACGGCGCGGGAAGTAGAGGCGCAGATTGAATGGATCCACCTGTACAAGAGTCAACGAGATCAGTATCCGGCCTACAGAGCGCCTTTGGGAAACGACTTGGTGCCGGTGGCGGAGGATGTAGATTGTTTATGGCCCCGATTCGCCCACGAAGTCCTCGAAGGCGCTTGGGCCGTCGCAGATATGTTAAGCGTTCACCCGCCCGTGTTTTGGAGTGAGGTTAAACGAAAGAGGAGGAGTTCATGCACTTCTGAAAGCCATCTGGTGGACTTTGAGCTTGCTTTAGAGTCAATTGAACCACGGGGAGACACATCTGAAGAGGAAATGGATGCAGATGCCATAGAATATTCATATGCATACTTCTAGATTGCTCGACACACATGGTAGAGTAAACCAGGTACTACGAATTCACGAGAAATTTCATTACTATTTAAAATGCCTGTCCTGCTTGTATTAATAATAGAGTCTCAATAGGAAGGAAATAAACCAAAGTGTCTCTGAGTTGCTGGGCCGCCATTCTAAGGGGCGGCGCAAACACTTGATACGTGAAGAATTAAAGCGGCCATGTACACACCGGCCGGAGCTTTTACATTCTAAGGGGCGGCGCAAACATTTGATACGTGAAGAATTAGAGCGGCCATGCACACACCGGCCGGAGCTTTCAATGCAATCTTGATGCAAGCAATGTGTCTATTTTTGAGATCACGATGATTGCCCGGGATATTCTTCAAAAGTAAAGCTAAATTTAGTGCCGCGGGATGAAGTTTGCACTGGCTATTAATAGGCTTCAAGCTTTCTCTTAAGGACCGGCAACCCAGCTTGGAATGCCGTTGCGCTCACGGTGCCTTCACCCCTAAATTCTATATGCGCACAACACGGCGGACTGAACTCCTGGAGAGGGAAAGAAACCTTGTGCTACAACAACTTTTAGGTACCTCGAGTGGTTCATCGGAATTGTCCGCCCGTCCAAAGAATCTACAGGATTTTTTTCTTGACCTTTATCGCAATGATAATAGCAAGGTGGGGAATGGAAAGGCGGTGGAAGTTACCGAGGCAGAAGGTAAAAAACTTCTTAATGCGTTGCGAAATGGCGGAGAGGACGGCATCGATACATTTCTGTCTGGACTATCATCGCATGACCATGCATATGCGACGGCTCTCGGCAAAGATTTCGAGTGGTTGAGGGAAGAGAAATTTTCTGAACGAGAAGATCGGCTGAAAACACATTTCGTGCGTTTTTATAGTGATCACAACAAAATCGCCAAACGGGGCGCCGAGTTGGATGTGATCTGGGGCAGGCGCCTTCTTGCCACACTTTACAAAGGCGAGGTTGATGAGTACCTAATGCTGCTTCGAGCAAAAAATGTCGAGGCGTTTGAGGGCGCCAACAGCATAGATATCGAACGGTTACAAGCGCAACAAGGGTTTGAGATGTTGGCGCAGGAGATCGACGTCAGCACCATATCAGGTGCGGCACAGGGCCTATTCAAAAACAGATTCGTCCGATTCGTTCGACGTCATTATTACGCTGAGCGAGGTATAAATCTAGATGACAGATCCGTCGTAGTGGATCTTTTACGGAAGTTATATTCCAAGGATTTGCCCGATTTTCTTGGCGGATTCGCATCGCTCGCTGGAGTCGTATGCACGCATCAGCATGGAGTCTTACCCAAGACATGTCTGGGGCTCCTGTCCGTGTCTGAGTCCAAAAAGAAGAGAGATTTCGAAGCTCACTTCAGTGAGAATGAGGTGGCCGGATTTTTCGGCAAAATAGAGGGCTTAATAAACCTGGACGTGGAAGTTGCCGAAAAGGACTCCGTTCTGGTAACTGACCATAGCGAACCTGTACAAGCTGCAAACGCAGTCGGTGATGTTAACTCTGACACGCAGCATTACCGCGGAACGAGAGGTCGTAAAGACGCAGAAAGCTGCATATCTGATGTCGAAGCACTCCCTCTCGAGCATGACAGCCATCAGAGTTCAGGGACAGCAGCTGTTAATCGTCGTAGACTCGGACGCCAAGGACAAGGGCCGGTTAAGCCCATTCCACAGCTTGGAACCGGAGAAACGACTAGGGCAAAGACTAGGGCACAGACTAGGGCACTGGAGGCAAAACAAAAAGAGCTGCCAACCCAAGATGGTAAACTTACCGACCCACACAGGGCTTCGGAGACAGCGTTGGGGATTGGGGTTGTAGAGAGAGAGCCAGTGCAAGAGACTGTTCAGGACGCATTCCCAAAGGTCCATATCACAGACGAAGCTTCGTCTACTTCTGACCAAGCAAGCAGCAATGGCCCCAACAGGCGTAAGCGCAAGGTGGAGCAAGGCTCCGTATCTCCTCCCAAGGAAACGGCGATCGCGACTCCATCAACAACGAGGCTTACAAGAGCCATGAAAGCCAAGCAAGCGGTAGGAGCCGAAAAGTTGCATGCTGAGATTAGCGAAAGTAAAACCATAGACTCGGATGTTGTCAAGCCTGTCGTTTCCACAAGCTGCGCAATGAGTGATGTGCTCGTTCAAAAGGATTTTGCAGATAACGACGAATCTGAGCCTAATAACCCGACCTTGGTTGCTTCCAGAGATACTCCTGAAATTCGCCGGTCAGAACGTTTAGGCCATACCAACGAATCTTCCAAACCTTCGTGGGCGAGTCAAGAACAGACTACAAGCAAAGAATCCTCAGGTCAAAGGTATTCCTTGCGTCAGCGAGTCCAGAAAGATGTGGTAACGTCTGGGGGGGCGCAGGTCGTCAAGAACACGTCGTCAGTAGCTCACCCAAGGCAAGCTAAATCCATGACGGATTCTAACTCGACTACGGTGCGGCGGGGCCCCGAAATGCAACGAGATCCGCCGCCTATTGCTCCCCCGATTGAATCTGCTCGGGACAGAAGAATGTCAGAGGATATTGGCAATCTGATACAGATGCAACTGGAGGCATTTATGGAGGTAGACAGTCCGCCAGTTGAGGAAGCTCGCCCGGATGTGCCACCTCCCTTTGATACTGCCGCAATGCCACCTGCTGAGGACGTGGGGATGATAGACTCTCAAAATACAAGCAGTATGGTGCCTGAAGACGCGAGGATACGTGGAGTGACTCAGAAAAAGACCCGATCTGTGTTGGGAAAATTGGTCGGCAATATCAGAGGGGAGCCCAAGAAAAGGAGCAGCATTCTGGGCCCGGGGCCTGACGGAGGAATCAGGAGGAGTGGCAGACTTGCAAAAAATGCCAATAAAGCCAATAAATCCACAGTCACGGCTATAGAAAAGGCGCTGAAAGAAGCCGAAAGCACGGGAGGGGAAACTGTGTTAAATTGTGATGCCAAGGACAAGGAGGCACCCCCCTTGGATCAGCAGTTTGACCCGGGCTTTTATTCTACGCCAATAGGCAACCCACATGAACCCCAAATCGTTGAGGAAACAACTCATCTAGAAAGTAATAACAACATCATGCCATCAAGGCTTCGGAACAGGGACGGCGCAAACGGAACAGTACAGAGGGCTACAGCCCGGCCAGTGAGGCGATCCAGACGGATACAGACGCAGGATGACTTTGGAAAATTAGGGAAAATGACCGACAAACGCATTGACGACCGCATGCGAGCCCGCAGAGCACAGATTGCTGCGAGAACTAAAGCAAAGCTGGGGTCGAGAAGGGAAGAACTACTATATCAGCTGATATCCGAGACAATAAAGAACCATTTAGCCAACGAGATCAGTGAAAGTATGCCGGCATCGGAGAGATTGGGGCCAGCACACTTTTCCAAACTTCCCGAGCTGATTGCTAGGGAGGTCCGTTCTGATCCGGTGAAACTCGCCGGTTACTACATGGCCACATCCTTCCTGATTCACAGGAAAAAGATTGACCAGGATCAACTTCCCGAGTCTGCGAAAGAGATTCTGCAGCCGCTTCAGAATCTTTTAAGAGATAAGAACTATCAGCCGTGTAAGCATCCAGACCTCTCCTGCCACAGGATGGAGTGCTTTGAGCAATGGTACACCTTGTGCGCGGGCCATTCAAAGAGGACATTTAAGTCGTTTGCAACCAAGCACGAAATAACGCAAAAGAAAACGCTCGGGTCGAAGTACACTGGGAAGGAATATGACGTAAACGAGCAGTTCAAACGTAAATTTCATGCGAACATGAGACTATTTAGCGCAAAGAAAGCGGACTATGAGCTGTTAACTTGTTTGGTCAAGACTGTGGACATAATGTTTAGTAGTGACAGCGGAGGTGAGCAAACGAGAGAAACATCAGTTGTCAACGCCATGGATGTGGATGGGCAGAGCGATTTAGATGTTCAAAAGGTGGCAAAGCAGCGGGAACCACACACTACGGGCCGGGGTGGTCGCCACATAACTGTTAGACCTCGCTATCGACCACGAAGTCGGCCCAAGTATCGGTCAGTCCCCGAGAATGGAGGGGGCGGCAGTGGCAGCGAAATGGTCACAGAGGTTGGAGAGGACAGCAGGCAACCCTGTGAAGCTCTCCCAACACGTGATCAGCTTCTTGAGGAGATTGCCACATTGAAGGCCAAGATCACGCAGTTGACAAGCAATACAACGATTGTTCAAAGCCAAATACAGCAAAATGAATCACTCAAAGTGGGCAAAAAGAGCGTGGAACATGAAGAGCCAGCCCCTCTTGAAACGGAAAGCCAAACCATTAACCCTGGTGGAGCTCAACTGGCCACGGTTATCGCCGATTTGCTGCCGTGTATCTTTGTTGATATTAGAGAGAAGTATGAGCTAGCCAGCAAAACCGACGAGGTTCAAAAAGCTCTGAAAAACCAGATTCACAGGAGAAGTATGAGCTAGCCAGCAAACCCGACGAGGTTCAAAAAGCTCCGAAAAACCAGATCCACACAGAGGTGGAGTACCAGATGCGCGCAATCGATGGCGGAGCTGGTATCTACGAGAAGTACTGCCGGTTTTATGATAGTCTGCCGCCTTTGGAATCTTATCTGGAACACGAGCATGAAAGGACATTGCAGGGAGTGACAATTGTCATGCAGCAGTTCTTCCGCTCGTTGAATGGAGAGGTGGCGGACGCCGACAAAATGAAGTCTGGGCTGGAATATGCCGGGCTTAGTGGCGACATCATGTTAGAAAAAGAAATGGAAACCTTCTTCTCTGTGGAGTATCGCAGTGTGGCAAGCAAGAACACGAATGGTTCTCCAATGTACCTCCAAGCCTTCAAAGAGATTTTGCCGTTGATGCAATCCTTATGGAAGAACACCGAGAAGGGGCGGATTGACCTTGAGAAGAAGACCAAAGAATGCTCCACGTTGGAGGAGGAGCTGAATAAATCCAAGAACCAAATAGAGCAGATGAAGGATTCGCAGAAGAAAGAGCACAGAGGGCAAAGCAAACATCCGCAGGGGCCGCAGGTGGAGTTGCAAGTTCTAAAACCAAATGCCGACAACAAGGGGAGCGTTGAGTCGTACGACGTTATGAAGGATTCGCAGAAGAAAGAGAACAGACGGCAAAGCGAACATCCGCAGGGGTCGCAGGTGGAGTTGCAAGTTGTAAAACCAAATGCCGATAACAAGGGGAGCGTTGAGTTGTACGACGTCGAAAAACCATCTTTGCTACTACTGAGAGATTATCTGGAACTAGACTTGCCTGGCGAAGAAAGAAGTAAAAATGCAGACCAAGACATGAAGGACAGCTTGAGAGGACTAGCCAGTCTCAGTGTCTTGTCTAAGTTACACCAATTGAAGTGCCGGCCTGGATGCCCAAATTTCGAGAAGTTCGCCAAGTTTGCGGTGGGAGGAGGGAACGAACTGGAGCCTATCTATTTTGAGAGTTGTAACGAAGCGTTCCGAAACATCCTACCTGTAGAAGTCTCGAGAGGCAAGGGAGCAATCGCACGCGGTTTGGAAACTGTAGCTGGGCTGCAGGAAACCGAGAGAGTAGTTTCATTACACAAGAAGCAAACAAAGATGTTGACAGACGAGAAAACGGACCTGAACGAACGCTATGTCGCACTGGAGAAGAAATCTGAGCTAGCCGAGAAGGAGTTCAAGTCAACATTATGTTCTGCAGGATTGCTGCTAGGGTCGTCGTTGAAAACGGAACCAGCGGGCGCAGAATTCAAACTGGAAGAATCATTTTTGAAGGGAGGGAAGCGAGCTGACCGAAACGTAATCAGATGTTTACACACCTTGTTAAGCCCGTCGTGTCCATGTGGCCGAGATGACAATTACTGGTCTACTTTAGACGCAAGAACTTATGATCAAGGGAATTTTGCACAATGCAGCAAGCAATTCCAGGCCTCACTTCCCAAGACAATTGAGGATGCAATCCGCCCTGAAGACGCGGCTTGGTACAACATGCTTTCTGCGATGACAGGAGCCGCAGAGCTCAAAAAGAAACTTCAACACATGGAAAGCGAACTCCAACGCGCAAGAACGAGACAGAAAGAGGATCATGGGGCCGAGGTGAAGAAAGCCACACGCAGAGCATCCCTTGGTGTGATATGGTCAATTGAGAAGCATCTGTCGCTCACCCTCAAAGGGGACAATGATGCAAAAGTCACCGAGAATCTGGACAATATATTCTCGTGGGTAAGAGGTCAGGATGGAAACATTACAGATGGGGGTATTCCGCTACCCGTAGAGTTTGATAGCCTTTCAAATTCAGAGGCACCCGACAAGCTGCTTCGCCAGTTAGTGCAGGTACGGACCTTGAGGGTCTCACAAAACCAATCACAGGAGGAAAAGAAGAACCTGATTCGGGCCTGGGAAGCCTGCTTCAATGAAAGGTATCCAAAAAAGCATACCTGGACTTTATCGGAGATCAGAGTTTACATAACGGACCACAAAACGGAAATCGCTTCTTCAGAGTTTAAGAGTGTGCAACCCTCCGCGACCAAATCTATCGAGACTCGTGCCCCTGAGTCCAAGGATTCCGAGTCCAAAAACTCGCAAACCTCAGCAAACACAGTCGCACAGGATGTGCACCTGAAAAACTTGGAACAATTACGGGGGAATTACGACGAAGCCGTCAAACAAATAGCAGTCGCCCAGGAGCAGCTGAAGCAAGCAACCGAAGTGGGCGATACATGCCACTTGCTCCTTCATGCGTTGTCCAAGTACCTAGATGGATCCCTGACGCAGACGAAAGACATCACAAAGCATCTCCCGAGGGAGCTTTTGGCTAGCGAAGATCATATGGACGAGCTGCATCGCATCTTGTCCAATTGGTCTGGGAAAGGCATTCTGAAAATCAAGCAATGCGCCGACACCAACTGCAAAGCCTCCTACTTGCACGGTTTGACCCCATCTGTCCCCACCGGCAAAGATAACAGCACGACCTTGCTTTCAGTGGCGGAAAACCGCAAAGATATCACGGTATTCTTCTCAGTTTTGAAGATTTGGAAAGAAGTCACATTATTTAAGAGTGGTCTCGAGGCCAAGCTGACCAAGGAAAGTGATGCTGCAAAGGAACGGGAGACGAGGTTAGTCTTTGCCAGCCGCCTCTTGCTACGGAGATGGCGGTCAATGAAGGATGAGCGCAAGAAGCAGCAGTTAGAGAAACGGGCAATCCGGGCTGATGCTCTGGTGGAGGAGGAACTTGCAATATCGACCAGTGGACGTCGCAATGACCAACCTCAAGTACAGGAAGAGCCACCTGGCAAGGATGCCAACGGATCCGGCAAACAACCTCCCATCGGAGGACCGGGCATGGTACAGCAAATCCTCAACAAAGTAGAACGCCTAATAGAAAATGCACAGTCGGCAACATGGGTGAGGATGGACCTAAAAGCGCAAAACATGGCATCCACGTGGCTTTATATTTTAACAATGAATAAGATGACGATTGAGAAATGGAAACAGAACTCTGTTTATATTTTAACAATGAATAAGACGACGATTAAGAAATGGAAACAGAACTCTAAAGATGACGATGAACAAAGGCAAGTTCGCGAGCAAGCGAGAAATGGAGGTTTGGGCCCCGGCATAGTGTTTGACTGCGTGACAAACGCGACGAACGGTGTATGGAAGAAGTGGGATGAAGAAGACCGCAAGAACGGCGGCTTGTGTAGTGCAGACGGACCGGTTGAGCAGAAAATGCGACGGTTCTTGGCTATACATCTGGGCTGGCAGATGGAGCTTGCAAATGAAAATCCTGAAAATGAAATGGAAGCCACAATTCTTAATTCAGCCGGGGTTGAGGAGGCCAGCGGTAAAACTACGCGTGAGGGGGTTGAGGAGGCCAGCGGTAAATCTACGCGTGAGATTACTGTGAGGGGATCATGTGACCTGC